ATCACAAATACTTTCAAAATGTCTCCCAAATGCTCAAACATCCTCAAAATCCAAGATCATCCAAAATCCAGAAATTAAAAAATATTTAAAATTGAAATCTAACCATACACCACTTAAAGGAAAATTCATCCACCCTCCGGAACAGTTTGTCGGGTGGACAAATCAAAATTTACTTCAACTTACAAAAAGCTAAATGCCTAGTCAAAAATATCACTATGATCCATTCTCAAACAATCTCCTGTCATTAAGGACGTGGTACGTGTCCTCTAACCGGCGGTTTCGCCGCCAAATGGCACCGCAGGATAAACGGTTATGACCCGGGGCCCTCTGAACCGAGTGGTTTTGACGCCAAATGGCACCACGAAATACCAGTTATGGCCAGAGCCAATACGCTCCTTAATGACATCAAATCCTTGAGATATGAATCAATAGAATATGATCGATAGGGTACAAAGCCCTTTGTTAGCTAAGGTGGATTCAAATTTATCCCCTTAGACAAACATTCACCTCATGTCTACAAGGTACCCTTGGACGAAGCAACCCATGGCTGCCGACAAGGAACCTTCTGTCAGGTTGGGTCAACTACCTCCTCTAACTAAGTAGACCAGGGATTACGATGGCCCGGGACGACGGAACCATGGGATCTTGATCGGGTACATCATCCATTCCCCCACTATCCGCTTTAACTGCAAGATGATGAAAATTTCTATTTTTAAATATCAAACCTTGAACCTCTAATATCCAAAGTTTTCAAATTCCCAATTCCAAACATCATTGCCTATGCTGCTGCTATATGCCAGATAACACGTATGTTCTACGTATCTGATCGACGACTAACCTTAATCGAAAGTTCTCTCTCGTTATCGGGAGGGGTAATTAACTATAGGGGATTGCGCCTATAGGAAACTAGAACTCAATCATAAAGTCCTCTCAAAATGAGGGCAAAATCTCTGAGTAGTGTCTTATCTACAAACTCATCTACCTTCCAAAATTTACCCCGGAACTAATTCCATTAAAACTCCCTCGCCGAAGAAAAAACAAAGCAATCAACGGGGGGAGGCCGGGGCCGAATTTTCGGAGCCCACAGGTGTAAAGCCTTTTGTTATTTTACTTGCAGCTAGCTCTTCCTATAAGGCATAGACAACGATGGTTTTTGCTAAACATTTTAAGTTTATATTAGCATAGTTTAAAATAGCGCAAAAAGAGGCGCGCCTCTACATAATTCTACCCTAAAGAGCCTCATTGCTTAAGCAATTTCGGGTCTGGGTTGAGGCCTACGCCTCATGGATCCTGGGGCGCGCCTCAGAGGCTTAATTGTGCAATTTTTTGTGGGGCTTACGCCTCATGGATCCAGGTTCCACACACTTAAGTTCTTTAAAAAAAAAAAGCCATTTCATCCCTTTCTTCTTTCCGCCTACCCGAACTGAATGGAAGAGCTCCACAAGCCGCAGTCCGCACGCCCTAGCTTCTCTCGGCCGGCCTTCCAGCCACCTCTCCTGCAAGCGCCTCCTCATGCCGGTGAGCAACTTGAGTCCAACCGCCCTCTACAACACCTTTACTATGGGTTTTAAGTATTTTTTTAATTCAAGGTTTGATTTTTCAAGTTATAGAAAATCTATGGTTTAAATTTTTTTGAGATTTTTGGTTTGATTTTGCATTTGTGCATTAGGAAACATGGTTAGGAGAAAGGAAAAGTTAAATACGTCATTGTGGAGGGACCCTTCTTGGAAGTACAATGTACATGTTGACGTAGGCGGAGGCGAGAAGACATACGTGTATTTGAAATGCAATTTTTATGATGGGATATGATTAGATTTTAGATGTTCTTTCTTATTTGTACTTTGGGAGTTTTGATTTTTTATAGACTTCAAGTTGTGATTTTGTACTTTGAATTATGCTATGAGAAGCATATATTACATCTATTTTATTGTTTTTCACTAAGATCAGTTCTCATTTAGATGTTTTTATTGTATCATAGACTCTTACTGTTATTTACCTGCTAGAATACTTAAATTCTCATTTACGCAATTCTTCGCCCGTGAGGCTTACGCCTTGCACCACCTCGAGGCTTACGCCATGCTTCAGGACGAAAAACGCCTCGAGACTTATTTACGCAATTTTAAACCTTGATTAAAAGAACATGACATTATTAGTATAATTCAAGTTGGATGGTTGAGGTGGAGGAATGCATCAGGTTTGTTGTGTGATAGAAAAGTCCCCCTCAAACTTAAGGGAAAATTCTATAAGATGGTGATTAGACCTGCAATGTATTATGGTGCAAAATGTTGGCCATTAAAAGAGAAGCACAATATTAAGTAGTGTTACAAAGATAAGGATGCTCAGCTGGATGAGTGGCTTTATTCTTAGAGATAGGATAAAAAATGGACATATACATGAAAAGGTTGGAGTAGCTCCATTGGAAGAAAATATTAGAGAGAGTCACCTTAGATGGTTTGGTCACATAAAACGGCGGCCTTCCAATAACACGGTTAGGAAAGTAGATGTATTAGATTTGACTTATGTTAAGAAAGGTAGATGTAGACCTAAAAAGATTTGGTTAAAAAATATTAGAAATGATCATTTTTATTAGATTTAAATGAGAATTTTAACTTTTTCCAGGGCATAATGCAGAAAAAGAATTCATGTAGCCGACACCATATAGTGGGAATAAATGCTTGATGTTGTTGTTGTTGTGAAGGCCAAACTTAGATTCATGCTCAGGTTCAAGGTTTGTCCAATTTTCACATCCTAATTTGAGTTATGCCAACATGTAATCCTCTAAACCATACTTGTTAACGGCGAATGGCGCACCATGGAGCAAAAGTCCCATTGAAGCCATGGCGCATAGCGCACGGCGCAGCGCACGCCATTTTGAACATGGCGCAAATTATACAATAATTATAAATAACAATCCAAGCAATTTACTCAAGCAATCACACAAGAAATTTATTTAAACAAATAACCCTGTTATACTTTGTGGAATGTTTATTTATCCTAGCATATCCTTCTACATTCTAAAAATGATCTACTAATTAACTAACATGCTAAGAAAATTACCACGTCCAATCAAGATATCACTTCAGCTACAATCATATCAAGTCCATTACTAAAAAAAGTCACTTCAACTTTCATGTTCTCCATCAAATATATGCTTTCATACAATAAATTCCAATGAGATTATCCTTTAACCTGTCTCTAACAATTTCAAGCCCAATAAGTAGTCAATCTTCATACAACTCAAATATATTTAAATGAAAGTAAATAGCATTAAGAAGATAAAAATATGCAATCTAACATAAATCTTAACACTTTTAATATATTTAAAAATTAGGAAATATATTATTTTAAAAATTAAAAAAATTAAATATAAAAAATATTTATAATTACATTAAAAAAAATTAAAACAATGGCACGCGTTATTTTGCGCCGCGCGCCAAGCGCCATGGCGCGCATGTGGCGCAAATAGTGAGCATCATTTTGAACGTCTGCGTCGCACCATACACATGGCGCCGTAGGTGCGGCGCACCGCACCGTGCACCATGGCGCGCGCTATTTTGTGCCATTGACATCTATGCTCTAAACCTAAGTCTTCCTCAACATAAGTGGCCTCATTATCTTTAACATCTTCAATAGGATCAGCTGTAAACTTAAATTCATGCTAATGTACATGTGGGCAATAGGAGACTAATACAATAAGGAACGGATGGAAGAAATTTGACCTAGTAAGTAGTAGAAAATTCCACTAGGGACCTGACCATAAGAGTATTCTTAATCTTTATAAACTTACTACAAGCTTGAACTAAAGTTCAAGAATTAAAAATTCCATTATTTCTTGTGTTTTCCATAAATAAAAAATTTTACATGTGGGTTATAGTGATTACACTTAAAATGTAAGATGAAAATTCAGCCATAATATTTAGAAATAATATGGTTAACTTATGTGAATAAGTTAGTTTCAACAACTAACTTTTCCTTATAAGAAGGTATTAAGAATTCTTATTCAAGTTCGCATTTCATGCTGCACAATGAGCTTACATCATAAGGTCTATCGTTATTTTGCAAAGATAGTCTAGCAAAATCTTCCAACCTAGGCATTGCAAGCGAAATTTAACGAAAATTTGATAAGTGATAATTATTAAAACAAGCTTTTAGGTTAATTAACCAATCTATGCATAGGGCCTTGTGTTTTGTCAAAGGTAAGAATATGATGATATAATCATTGCCATCATGTATATGATTATGCATGCCATAAAATGGAACCATAATGAAATGAAAGAAAATTATGAAACATGAAGAAATTTCAAAGAATACTTGGTTTCCACAATACTTAGTGCCTCGGAAGCTAGTAAGCACTAGGAACTCATTGCAGCCCATTGTTTCTCTTATGTTCGAAATAAGGACCCCCATCCAACTTGAAACCAAAAAAAAAAAGGAAAGACTCATTCAATTTTAAGTAGGACAGCCACTGTCATTTCAAATTAGTTTCCTCTCAAAAGCATGTTATGAAATTGACAGAGGCAGAACAGAAGATTTCAACAACCAAATTTGTGCCCTTAAAAGCCTTTCAATTTCTACCTTAAATTTTAGTCATATGAGAAAATAAACGCTAGTTTCAGAAGCAATTATAAGCAATAATGAATAATCGTCATACATTAAGTGGGTGACAGGCGGTGCCATTTCAAATTAGTTTTCTCCAAAAAGCCTGTTATGAAAATGAAGATATATAGCAGCACAAACGAATCTCACAACCAAAAATATGCCCTAAAATACCTTTCAATTTCTAAATTATATTTTAGTTATTTGTGAAATTGAACCCTAGTTGCACTATTTTAAAAAGGGAAGCTAGTGAACTATCAAATGTCCTACTAAATATAGAAATTAGTTAGGGTCTATGGATTGCAAAACTGCTTTATAATATAGCAATTTTGAAATGAATAAATCTCAAGTTTGAAACAACCGTAAAGGTTATGTATAAGAACACGCCTTGAGGTGACTTTTACCTAATTAAATTGGTTAGGATCTGCCGAATCCTTAGGACGTCACCAATAACCTGGAAATAAAAATACGAGAAAATCAATACTAAGACAAAATATAGAACAAAGCAGCTTTGCAATCATAAGAAAACAATAACACATTCAATCATTTTATTAATAAAGCAACTAGTGCTCTCATAAGCAGAAAAGAACAATGCAATTAACCAAGAACTAAAATCAGAGATCTATCCTAAGGAAAGATAAAAAGCACTGGCAAATGTTGGAACGCTTTGAAAGTTGATGTATTACTGAGCAGATCCTGTCTATCAAATGTAACAGAACGACTGCCACGCACATTACGGCTTTGTTTGGGACAGCTTTCTTATTGTTTCTTAAAGAAGCTATTTAATACAAAAATTATAATTTTTGTACTATAAAGTTGCTTTAAGAAGCAGTAAGAAAGCCGTCCCAAAAGAAGCCTATAGCTTGTAATTCACTGATGTCCTCACCTCGATTGGTACATCATCAGCAACATGTCCTTCCAATGTCAACTGCTTTCTCAGAGATGCCGCAGCAGTCTGGAGCACATGTTTTACCACCTCTCTTGGTCGGAACTTTGCAGCCTCCAACTTCATGACTCCTTCAAAGGGAAAAATCATGAAACATCATCATGTAAAAATAAATACAATTGCAACAATTTCCTTCAGCAAGTGCTGCATGAGACGTTAATTTTAAAAAACTACCAAAATATTACAGCTCAACCAGCACGTTTATCAAGGAAAATCAGGTTTTGAAAGAATTTCTAAATGGATAAAAAATAAAAAGTTGACTTCAATTTCTAAAATTCTTCAATTGCTATTTGCTATTTCTCCATTTATCAATCTATATATGTGAAACCAACGTGAACTGACAACAAAAGTTGAAGTTGGATTGGAAAGCAGCCATTGGGGGATCTTATCCTGGGGACAGTTGATTTCAACGCCATATATTTATATAAAGTTTCTACACTAAGTTATTGTAAACTAGAAAACTTCTTTCTCTCTCAGAGAAGAAAAAGAAGTTAAAGTCACTACCTACAAGGAATTATTATCCATGAATCTTTGGCATGGATGCAAGATAATGACTCCCTGCTCAAATTACAGCAGTTTTGTAATCTTCCTTACTAGAACTAAGACAAATTGACAAACAAAAAAAATATAACGCATCATCTGGAAACAAGTAGAAAGTTCTATAAATTAATTTCTACTAGGCAAGCAATTTCACAAGAGAAAGGACATTTTAAAAACCACCAAAAACGAGTTCTTTTTTTATATGGAGGAATGAACTGGTGCCTACCTGACTCAACCTTTGAAAGGTCTAGGATATCATTGATTAACTGAAGAACCAAATCTCCAGATGAGATCATGACATCCAGCAACTGGCGCTGCTCTTTGTCCAATTTTGTGTTTGCAAGTATCTCTGCCATGCTAACAACCCCAGTCAGTGGAGACCTAATCTCATGTGACATTGTGGCAAGCATTTGTTTTGCCCGCATAGTTTCCTCTGTAATTTTGAAACAAAGTGATATTAATATAGGCCTACTAGCGGAATTTGGGTCAAAGAAAGATAAAGATTCATTTAACCAGTAAAAAGTAAACCTGTAATATGAATGGTTTTATTAAGTTCTTTTTCTTTAGCCTTCTGGACGGCTATCTCCTCCCGAATTTTTACCATTTTCTCCCTTTTAATCACCTGTTTTCATACGATCAAATTGGTTAGATCTTATTCTTGAATCAAAAGTTACCATAAAAGTTGCACAGGAAATATAATGTTAGATTACTCTAAAAGGGCATAGGATGATTAATAGGATAATTTTTTGGCATGGCGGTAAAACTATAAACCGAAAGACTAAGGCATGCAACTTACAAAAATAAGCCTGCAACCTAACTAGTTGCAGGATATACAAGAGCACCCTCATTGGATTCAAGAAATTGCAGAAAACATTGCTTTGTTATACAAGCTCTGGAACAGAGTATGCAAATAACAGAAGTTGAAGGCATGTACATTCATCATCTTCATCATCAAGCTTATCCCAACTATTTAGGGTTACCTTCTCATGATAAATAGCAAATTGAAGCCATGCATACTCACGAAATCTAACAATTGGAAACAACCATATGGGAAAAGGATTTGGTGTTAAGGGATCCATTCCCACAGTCTTCTCAAATTTGAACAGAATCTCAGAGTTCTTGAAGAATAACAGCAAGAAAAAAAATAAAGCCTCTTACTTTAGTTTTGCATACGATAGTTGCAATCTAAAATATTTATTTCATTTTATCCATTCATCATGAAATAAATCAATTAAAAATTCATTTAAACCCTTAGTCTTGCCCATAATACATCTAGACCTTGATTAAAATAACTCATCATCATGCATAAAGGAAATTTCTTTTTTTCAATTAAAAATATATTCCCGTACAGTACTCTCCATGCCATATTACTTGTGAATAGCGTCCACAATGAATAGTGTTCTACTAATATTTTTTAAAAAATAGAAGTCCCTAAAATTTGTCATATACAATTGTTTTATGTTATTCACCCATGCTAAGAAAAAAAACCACTGGTTTCAATAAAAATATGGAAATTTCCGTCCTTGATTCTTCAGTCGCGTGCTTTCAAGGACATGATATTACTTTTTTACCACTAAAAATTAATATGTTGATCTTCCTTTCCGATTTATTTTTTTTTTCCGATGTCAAGATCTTGTGATCTTTATGGGTAATGTCGAACTTCACTTAGAAATCTTCTCTATGATTTTCGCTCATCATCTTCTCCAAAATATAGTAAAATTGAATTTCAAACTTTTGGTACTCTTCACTTGTTAATAATGATTTCTCCTTTACAGAATCCAATATCAACTTCACCTAGCTCTTTGTTCTATTGTTTAGATAGATCTTATTTTTAAGTTATTTATCCTGCAATATTAAAAATTCCATTACTTCCTCTTCAAGTTCTTCTTTCTTTTATTTAAAAAAATAATTTGCAACTTAATGACTTTATTTCTTCAATCGATGCCTCAATTTGATCTTAATCTCACTATAAATGCGTCATGCATGCTTATATTTTGTCTTGTGACTCTTTATGTACATGACTTTACACAATAATGTGAAATGCCTATTCTAAATCTATAGAACATTCTGGCAGTCATCAATGTAAAGTATCATCTTAACATCAGCATATCTTCCAAAAGATTTTTTTTTGCTATAAAAAAATATGAATAAATCCAAAGTAATTATAAATATTTGATATAGATCATCTGGAGAAAAGAGGAAAAATGGAGGTTTCTTGAAATAACCCGTAAGGTTATTGGAATTAGCCCAAAGGATACAAAAAAACACATTTTTGGAAATTTTGCGAAAATCATTTGTGTTTAAGATGGAAAAAAAATCCCATAGGAAAAACATCCATATCTCTATGTAGGAATGAAATTACTTGAATCCTAGGAAAATTACCCAACAAATAATTAAAAATAAATTATTCCTAAGTACTAAGATATGATATCCAACATTATACAACATGGACTTCATGAGTCAACTATCTCCATGCATCTTATTTGATGTTGAAAGGCAAGGAGAAGAGGCTTAAACATTTTTTAAAGTAAAGTAATTTTTCAGACCTTGGAAGCTTGGAATCACCACAAGGAAGAAAAAAACAAAACTGTTCAAGTATTTTCCCAAAAAAAATTCATATCAATGGTAAAAACATTATAATATTATCCAGGAAAAAGATCACATTAGCTGTCTTTATATAGGTATAAATGTACTTCAAGCCGAAGAAAATTAGATAACAACAAAGTAAAGATAAAAAAATGTTCTAAATAATAAGATATGAAACATATCTTATTATAGTTTAGATCTATAAAATTACCAAATAATCTTATTGCCTCAAATGAGCCTGATATCTAAAAAATGTCTCTCTCTCTCTCTCTCTCTCTCTCTCTCTCTCTCTCTTTGTGTGTGTGCGTGTAGATTTTGAAGCCTATGGCAGCAGTCGAGGCAGCATAATTTTGCAGTGATGAGAAAAAGTATCAGAAAGATGAACAAAGGTACTTTAATAGCACGCATAAGGTGGAGAAAACCTGAAAGAGCTGAAAAGCTTCGAATTAAATTTTCCAATCACGTGAAACAACATATATGGAGATATGAGAAACCAAGTTGGTGTTTTGTAAGTTCTAAAGCAAGAACCAAGAATGTTAGGAACTTTTTGTTGCTATCTCTCTTTGGAAAAGTAATTTATTCTAGCACGTTAGCACCAGTGTACTAATAATTTTAGTTAATACAGATTTAGAAATTGTGGCATTATCTCTTGATATGTTAATGTTGCAAGTTAATCTATTTAGAAACATAGTTTTGTAATATCTTAATCAGAACCAGCAGTTATTTGATGATAATATATACAAGGATGAGAAAACTATCAATGCGTTCTTGAATAATGGATAACAGATTTCAAATAATTATCAGTCCCAATTGCATTAAATATAAGGAGCCCTTCTAAACTTCTATTCATCGCTCAGTCTTGTTAAGTACTACCTGATAAAAGTTTTAGTTAACATAGATCAATCTTAACAACCTCTGACATGATAGTTTCAGCAAAAGTTATTTCTGCATTGCCTTTCACAGTATTCTTCTCACCTAATATGTAAGAACTTCCATATGACTTCTGGCATGGTATTAGGGCTGCAAACGAACCGAGCCGAGCCGAGTATGTGAGTGCTCATGTTTGAGTTCGTTTATCATTAGCTTATTCAAGTTCGGTTTGTGTTTGATTCGAGCTTTATTGTTTGTGTTCATATTTGGTTCGTTTAATTTAAGGGTGTTCATATTCGGCTCATGTTCGGTTCATGTTCGGTTCGTTTAATGCTTATCGAGTTTTAAACAAACAAGCCTTAACGAGCTATGTTCGTGAACATATTTAACAAATAATCTATTGAACAAACAAACATTAAATTTGTTCATGAACATCTTAAACAAACAATCTAACAAACATGGAAAAATGTGAAATGTCTTTTGTTCAGAAAATTAAATTTATAATAAAGCAGTTGTCTATTTAAAATGAAAATATGATTAATCTGTATGAATATATTCTTAAATGAAGCTTACCTGTTGCATTTCTCTCCATTCGAGCTTTTATCGAGCTTTTTATCGAGCTTAATGTCGAGCTTGTTCACAAACTTCAAATGTCGTTGTTCGTGAACATAAATGAACCGAAAACGTTAGAGTTCAAACTTGTTTATTTAAGGATCAAGTATTTAAAATGTTGTTCAAGTTTGTTTGTTTAGTTAGTTAAACGATCACAAACGAGCTTTAATCGAACCGAGCATCGAGTAGCTCGTCGAACGCTTGGTTCGCTTGCAGCCCTACATGGTACATTCTAATTATGATTTAAAAGAAAATGATTTTGCATTATTAAAAAAAAAAAACTAGGATAGCTTAAATATCATCAGGGATCATAATTTAAAAATCCTTCAACTGCAATTCATTAAATACTATTATACTATAATTCTAAATGAAAGTGTTTCATAAATTCATTTGTTTACCACAAAAGGGTAACAAACAACCAAAAAATAAATATAATTCAAAAGTAAAGAATAAAAATGCTACTTAGCAGTGAGTTAGATTTACAATAAGATGATAAAGTAAAGAATCTCCTAACACATTAAAATCCTGATACTGAAAGAAAAGATAAAATAACTTCAAAGAGAACAAACTTAAAAGGGCCACTACCTGGTCAGTTACATCCATTCCCAAATAATTGACACCTATTGTTTCTCCTGCCTTGCTGAATACTGGTTCAACATATATTAAAAATGTTTTTTTTCCAAACAATTCAGTCTCAAAGGTTATTTCCCGCTTAGCCGGCAACCCTCGTTCCAAGACTTCTCTCTTGAACTCCTGAGATTCTTTGACGCCCAATCCGGTAAATATCTCGGTATCAGTTTTACCTATAATGTCCTGAAAATATCAGTTACATTCCAATCAAATACCAGTGAAGGAAATTAAAATAACATTTTAAGGGAAGATAATCCACTACAAAGAAGATAGAAGTCGGCTTATATTTCTATTTTCCATTTCTTGATAAAATAATCAAGAACAAAAACACTATAAATCTTATGCTGCGAACTATTAAGGTACAAGCAGTGATAAAATGATTACCTCCTCTCCCAGCCTGGGGAAATGGTTATAGATGAAACGATAACGTAATTCTTTATCCTGGAGCAGCAAAAGAAAAAATATGAGAAAGTAACTCCTTAGAAAGGCATAGTTAGTTAATTATAATACACTTTTTTCTCGAAAAAAAGGAAAGCAGCATATGGATATAAGATATCCTCAACAGTGCTAAATGATAGCCGAGTCATGCTCAAGCATAATAACGAGTAAGAATAAGCCCAATAAAAGAAATGCTTCATTTATGCTAAGAAAGATATATCAATCCAAAGAGACTAAGGTTTCATTTGGGAAAGCTTTTTCACTGCTTCTTAAAATAACTTTTTAGTACAAAAGTTTAAATTTTTGTCTTTAAAAGCTGCTTTAAAAAGCAATAAAAAAGCCGTCCCAAACGAAGCCTAAATCAGTTGATATTCAAATGTTGCTCAAAATGCATAAAGAACAGACTCATGAACATGCTGAATCAAGCAAAATAATAAGGATAAATGGTATACAATTGTACAGCTACAATCTATAATATATTTACAAAATGTTCACTACCTTCGAATTATGGAATTGCTTCTTTTTTTTTGGAGGAAATTTACATACATATCACTTTATAACATCCTATTTATATGTCTAACACTCAAAATTTTAATATTTCATGCATACTACTCTATATTATTTTAATATCAAATATATATACCACTTATATTTCTTTCCTACCACTCATATATTTCATTTCTACCACTCATATTTGATATGAAAATGAACTATGGGTGATATGTATGTAATATTAAAGTTTTAGAAATTAAATATGTAAATAGAATAGTATTAGGTGATATGTATGTAAATCTCCCTTTTTTTTGTCTGAAATGAAAAAACAAATATCAAATATAAATTCTCAAGAAAAAAATTAAGCAAAGCCTGTAAATGATAGATACATACATGCGTAGGCATGCTCTTTCACACATGCAATTTTTAAATTTTAAGCCTGTCCAGAAAGAGCATTAATTCACCTGATGACCAATGACAACTGGTGCAGTTTGCAGAATAAAGTGCAGGTAGTTATCAGCCCTTTTTAAAATCTGAGACAATTCATCTACAGGTGATGATTGTGCCTGAAGATTATTAAGATTATCCTGCAATTTCTGCATGAGCATCTGCTCCCTTTGGATGCTTTCCTCGAGCAACTTTTCCAGCTGAATGGCGCGTTGCTTCCAGTAATTTACTGTGTTATACTCAGCATCTATGGTAATGATTTTGTTGAATGCATGACCATCATTTATCCTTCTAGGAGCAGCTCCCCAGATGTCATAAACTTCCTCAAGAATGGATATAGGTCGTTTATTTCCAGCATGTTTTTCTTGCTCAAAACGGTGTGCTTCTATGATCTCTAGCTTCTTGAGCTCAGTTTCCTTCCTCTGTATGCTCAGGATACTCAGCTCTTCATTCAGAAGGCGCGCAGCATTTGCTTGCTTGTACTCCCAACTTTTAACAAGGTACGCCAACTGGGAAGAGCCCTTCTCGCTATAGCTGGTTAGCTCAAGGAGCCGCTTGAAATCTGCAACAGAAGAATCGTCCACAATTGTGACATCTTCTAGCATATCTCGATCTGCCCTGGTTTCGATGTTGAACTGCTTTTCAGATGCATTCATAAGATTATCAGGCCACATAGGAAGGACTTCATTGTCTGCTTCTTCAAGAATTCCATTTTCCATGATCTTAAAGAACAGAAACAACTACAATCTCAACTGATCTCTGACTCCTTAACAATACAACTTGGACTAATTAATGAGCTTTGCTTTTATACCACAACCATCAACTATTATTGCTGATAACTTTGAACGGGCAAAAAATCTTGTTGTCATATCTTCAATTAATCCTTCAAAAACATCAGAAAGATTAGGTTTTTTATTGGTACTTGGTTAAGCCCACATCCAACAACTCATTTAAACAATGTAAAAAAGCTGCAATGAAAGTTAAAAAGTAGAGACAACCTTATATGGGGACAAACAACAATATGAAACAACAATATGAGGGTGAATAAAGCATGTATGAGACTTTCAGAGACAAAACATTTGAAGCATAAAACATGCAATAGATATCTATGAAAACCTACTCAAACTCGGGATAGAGTGAAACCAACTTTCATATCACTACAATAATAGCAAGGCAACCAAGGATAGAAATATGCAAGTATAAAGAAAAGCAATTTTAGAACCGCTCATTGAAAATGTATACATTGATGAAATCTATAAATGAGGAAAGATTACAACTGAAACAGGACAAAGCCACCCTATAAGATTATTCTTATTGATTCTACAGTGAGGAGAAGAATTGAACTTGGTGGGCCTGCTGTCAATTCATTTGGATAGATCAAAAGCAACAATACAGCCACAAAAAGCTCCTAGAAGCTACAGACGACAAGAATGTGCACATAATTCGTAATCAAAAGAGTACCTTTAAGGCGCTGATCCACATGTGCCCGCTTCCACTCAAAAATTGTCAGCCACTATGGTCTCGGAACCCAATATCACAATGCGCTCATCCGTTAAAGCGCACATTGAGGTCTTAAAAACGCTCAAGAGAAGAAAACAATATGGTAAGAAAGTGATAAGAGTAAACGAATTTTAAGTGATCAATTCCCAAAGTAATAAGCTTCTTCTCCTCTTTATGAAGCCAATGGAAGAAGGGCTCCGAAGATAAAAGATCTCCACTTTAAAATAAGAGCTCAAAAGTCACAGAACTTCTGGAATCAGATCAATGATAACTTTATAAGTACCTGAAACTCTTCACTCTGGAGAAGGCTGGATCTAAACTAGCCCATAATAGAAGATTCTCCTAGATTATCCACAGAAACCTCCGCTTTCTGTGTCTGCGGTGGTTCTCGCGCTTTGCAGTTGCAGGGTGGATATGGAAGGGCGAAGGGAGAGATCTCAAGGTAGATAGAATAAGGAAAGCCAACATGTGGGCGAAAATTGATTTTACAATCAGTAGGAGGAAAAAAAAAGAGCGGAACCTAAAAAAATGGCCGACGAAGAGCAAGGCCATGTGCGAATAGGAAATGCGGAGGGATTTTTAATGCGAATCCCCTTCCTCTTCCGTCCTTTTTTAAGCTTTCGCTCTGTAAGAAACGACGACGGAGAGTGTTAAAGAATCCGTAATCCTCTCAGCAATCGTCGCCAACCTCGGCGCGTTGTTGGCTTTGGAGACGTGGCCGCCTCCTGCAACTCAATTTATTATTATTATAATTATTACTCCATTTTGCCACGGTTGTTTTCACCACTTCTCGCCGCGATTGTTTTCTTCGTCTTTCTGCTATTTCTTGCAGCATTTTGGGCAAAATTATCTAAGGTCTGCTACTCCGTCATGTCAGCCTCTTTTTTTTTTTTTTTTAGCTTATTTGATTAATATATATTTTTAATAATAAGTCTATTAAATAAATCATTTAGTTGGACATAAAAATATGTTTAAACTCTATTTTTTCAAACTTCTTTTAGAATAAAACATACTAATTAAACATAATTGGATGAGCCATAACTTAAGGTGACTTTTGGGATTTTCTTTTTTATTTTTATTTTTTAATATTTTTTAATTTGAAATAAAATGTATTTGTATATTAAAAATTCATTGTGTTTATTTTTATTAAATATTGAATAAACTTATTTATGTGAGGATGGCAGCGATTGAGCGGTAGCGGCCGAAGGTGGTGGGCGAGCAAGGCAATGAGGATGGTCACTGGTCAGAGGTTATAGTCGTCGGTGGTAAGAGGCTAAGAGGTGATGGCAATTAGCATTAATGAATGTGGATATTGACAATGATTGGAGATGGACAGAGGTGGCAATCAATAACCAACGATGATTGGAGGTCATGATCAGTGGTGGCGATAAGAGAAGGACAAAGATTGTCAATAAAGGGCGACAATGATTAATAGTGAATGGCAGTGTTGATAATTGTTTTTAAAAATACTTAAAACACCTAAAAATTGGTTTTCTTGTTTTTAAAGTTGATTTATTTTTAAAAATAAAAAATGAAGTATGTAGAAAATAAAATAAGCTAACATATTTTAAAATAAAAACGCAAATAGGTCCTAATTTACATGCCGAATTTTAGTTTTGTTTCATGCTGGAATATTTGCGACGACAGAATATAAAGTTTAGCGTCTTGGCCTTATACAAATATCCAGCACACAAATAGATAAATGAGTAGGGATGCAACATTTACAAGAGATACCAGAATTTTTACGTAGAAAAGGGGGAAAACCACGGGACCTTGCCCAATTTGAATGAAGCCACTAGTGTTTGCAGTTGATTACAAATGAGGCTCTTCCTTGGTGGTAAGGCCTTTGATCGATGTAGCAAATAATATACATCACAAATAGTGCATTACATGATGGGAGTTAGAAGAACCAGTGTTGGTCTGTTCATTTGGTCGAAAGGACCATAGTCGGCGGGCTGTGTTGGTCAGAGGAACCGCAATCGATGAGCAATGGAGATCGAAAAGATCATAGTTAGTGGGCATTGGTGGTCAGAGTGAATGTAATAGGGAGGTAACAAAGGTCAGAGTGACCGTAGTCAGCAGGTAATGGTTGTATGAAGAATTATAGTCAGAGGATGATGGAGGTTGGAAGGACTATAGTCCAGCGACGATGGTCGAAAAAACCATAGTGAAATGATGGTGCTCAGAGAGACAATAGTGAGGCACCGGTGGTCAGCATGATTGTAGTTGACGGGCAGCGGATGTCAAAATGATCATAGTCGGCAGGCAACAATATTTGAGAGGAGATCCAGTGTTGATAGCATCTAGGAAGAGTTCTAGCGATAGTCTTAGAATAGACAGAAGTTTGACAATAGTTACTGGTCGAGTAGAGATCTGAAGAAAGCTGATGAATGGGAAGAATTCCATATGGTCAATGGTCAAGAAAAGATCCGACAGTTGCTAATGAATGGGTAGAAGTCCAACGATGGTCGGTAGTTAGGAAGAGATCTGGCAGTAGCTAACGAATGGGCGAAAATTCAATCGATAGTCGGGAAAAGATCCGATGATAGCCAATGAACATGCAAAAGTCTAGTGAAGGATGATGATCGGGTAGAGATTCATTAGCAACTGACGAACGGGTGGAAGTCTAGTGACGATCACTGGTCATGAAGAGATCTAGCGACAACTGAAGAACAAGTTGAAGTCCAGTGATGGTCGATAGCTGTGAAGAGATCCAGCGGCAACTGACGAACAGGTAGAAGTCTAGTGACGGTTGGTGGTCGGGAAGAGATTTGTCGGTGGTCGATGGCAAGGGAGTTCCACAAGTTTTCTCCTTTTTTTCATCCCCATCATGTAAAGAATGAGGGGCTTTTTTTTTCGGAGTGGCATGGCTAGTAAATTTGAAGAAGATTAAGGGCATGTTAGGCGTATTCTATCCGATGACCCATATTAATTCCCTTGATCATGAAGAGTTTATCAAGCATTTAAGTGCATTAGTGATGTAAGAATGGAGGGTTGTTGGATTTTTCTTGTCGAGCGGCTCGATTTGACTATAAGCATGTCATATTTGAGTATTTCTTGATAGTCAAATTAATGCTCTGAAGCTTTCACATAGACTTTAGACCTTTGATTTAGGCTCGAACTGTATCAAAGTTGATGTTGTTGGGTTCGTCTCCTTGAGATATTTAATTTTGCTTTTAGCTTCCTAAAATTGGAGATCAAATGATCCTAATTTTAATTTTTGAAGCCTCAATCTCATTTTTGTATCGAGATTTGTGCCCAATTAAGATGAATTTTTGATGAAATATTAGTTGGCCCTCTATTTTTGGACGTCAAATCTTATAAAGCCCAAAAATATGTGTCAAAGCTTTGAAAAGTTACATATACAAAATTATAAATTCAAACAAATTATACGACATGAACACTCTGTGATTGGTAGCTTGAAGAACATTAGTGTTGATAGCAAAAACAAAGGATTGAAGATGATGGGTAGTCAGGAAGAGATATGACGACATTAAAAAAAACTGACAAAAGTCTTGTGATGTTTAATGATTGGGAAGAGATCCGACAATCGTAAGTTGATCCTTTGATGCATGGAGTTAGGCAGCAAGCCTATGAAAGCCCATTAGAAGTGTTTAGGTTATGATGTTGGTGATCAGGCGATGAGTTGATGACGATGAGCGGGCTATATTTTGTTGAAGATAGAAGGTATGCATGCTGATGGAGGGCAGATAACTAATAATTTGATAGAGGAGTTCAAACATTGTGTTGACCACAACTGCCTAGTGACACACTAATAATGCCAATAAAGTGGAGGCCTGAAGATCCAGTCCTTCTTTGAAGTAGCTGAAAAAGATGCTTCAAAATGCTATGCAAAAGAGGTCGATGGGATCCTCCAGGGACATTTAATCGAGGATGTTTGAGTTATCTAAGATTATTTCTCAAAATATTGTTTGTTGATATTAACTTGTATGAAGAAGGTCAAAAAAATTCATTAATAGTGATTTATTTATCTGAGGTTATTTTCCAAAATATTACTTTGATAGCATTAACCTGTATAAAGAGATCAAGGGAAGCCACCAAGGATTTTTGATCTATCCAATGTTGTTTGTTAGATTATTGCTCGATGATGTAAACCTGCATGGAGGAGGTCGAGAAAATCCATCAAGGATTTTTGACCTATTCGAAACTATTTGTTAGAGTGTTATTCGATGATGTTAACCTGTGTGGAAGAGGCTGAGAGAATCAATCAATGATGTATGACCTATTTGAGGTTGTTTGTCAGAGTGTTGCTCAATGATGTTAACCTATGTGTAAGAGGTCAAGAGAATCCACCAATGATGTATGACCTATATGAGGTTATTTGTTAGCGCATTGTTTGATGATTTTAATCTATGTGAAAGATGTCAAAAGAATTTACCAAGGATGTAGAACCTATTTGTGATTATTTATATGAGTATTACTAAATAACATTATCCAGTGTTGAAGAGGTTGAATCAAATCCCCCTTGGATCGATTATGCCTTGACTAGGAGGGGGTGAATGTAGTGTATATCCTAAATCAAAGGAGAAGAATGCTATATCTTTAGACCGTTACTACCTTTTTGATGTTGAGATTACAACCTTGCTCAATGAGTAGAAGTTTAGCTATGGACTGGATAAAGTTTGTAATTTATTAAAAACATCCTTGCATTTACTGGAAGCTTTATAAAAAATAGTTTTTCAAGATATTGTTTTGGATGTTAAAAGCATTAGAGGAATTTTCTTGGCTATGATTGCAGATAAGGTTGCCTTCTAGTCCAAATCAGATTCCCTTGCGTCATGTACACAAATCCTTGAAAGGGAGAAAACCACGGGGCTTTGCCCAGTTTGAATGAATCTGTTAGTGTTTGCATGCGATTACAAATGAGACACTTCCTTGGGGGGGAAGGCCTTGGCTCTCGATGTAGCAAATATACATCATATAGAGTGCATAACATGGTGGGAGTGGGAAAATCAGTGTTGGCATATTCATTTGGTCAATAGGACCTTAATCAACGGGCGATGTTGGTCAGAGGAACCATAATCGATGAGAGGAGTATAAGGGAAGGGAAATGATAATCAAAATGAATGTAATAGGCAAGTGTTGAAGGTCGGAGAGACTGTAGTTGACAAGTAATACTTGTAGGAAGAACTATAGTTGGCAGATGATGGAGGTTGGAAGAAATGTAGTCTAGCGATGATAATAAAAAAAATGATAGTCGTATGATGTTGGTCGGAGAAACCTTAGTGGGGCACCTGTGGTCAGTGGGGTTGTAGATGGCTGGCAACGGATGTCAAAAAGATTGTAGTAGATAGGCAACAATATTTGGTAGGATATTCAATGTGGATAACATCCATGAAGAGTTATAGTGATAGCCTTAGAATGATCGCAAGTCTGATGATGGTTAATGGTTGAGAAGAGGTCTTGAGACATCGGACGAATGGGAAAAAGTCCAGGATGGTTGGTGGTAGAGAAGAGATATAATGGTAGTTGAGGGTTGAAGTTCAGCGACGATCATGTGTAAGGAAAAGATATGGTTGTAGTCAACAAATGGGTGGAAGTTAGCAACTGTTAGAGGTTGGGAAGAGCTAATGATAGTCGATGAATGGGTGGAACTCCAGTGACATTCGGTGGTCAGGAAAAAATTCGGCAACAATTGAAAAACTGGCAGAAGTCCAGTGTCGGTCGGTGGTAAGGAAGGGATCTAGTAGAAGTCGATGAACGTGTAGAAGTCTATAGACGATTAGTAGTCAGGAAGAGATCCGACTGCAACTAATGAATGGGTGGAAGTCTAGCAATGGCTAATAGTCAGGAAGAG